TGTCATGATCATTGTATACAATGCAATTTGTGACAGTTACTTTGTTATGAATTTTCATGTGATATAGTTTAAGACATCATTGGAATATGGATTTGGGTAACACAGGTGGGTGTATATATTAATTGTATTTTAAACAATACTAAAGTCTCCAAACAATACACCAATACACATCCTTGGTATTTGGTCCAGCCATCCATTGCATTCAGGACTTCATCAAGGCGAATAGGGATAGGTTGAGCCAGCTTCAGGCACACCCTGGTCGTCGGCGTATACTCTCCCACACGTCATAAGCTTTGGCCTCTATTGCTGCAGGTTTGCTGCTCCCCAACTATCCCAATCACGTTTCATCATGGCCCAAATATGTTCAAACGGACTAATATCACATCCTAGTGTTGGCCAGTCGATGACCTCAATTTCAGGGTGATCCTGGAGGTAGACCATTATGTTGCTGGTATGAATGAGACTGTTGTCATGGGCCAGCCTGATAGTGTGGGGGCTGGAACTACCATAACCCGGACTGTAGGTGCTTGCTCCAGTGAAGCGGCCATAGATCTTGACCAGTTCACCTGGCCCATGTGCCCATCCACCCCAGAGGCCGAGCACTGACACCTACCACTCACTGCGCGATGTTGAATGCGTTTCTCATGGTAGAGGGTGTTGGGGAGCCACCAGCACTGCCTTGCTTCAGCTCCACTGACCTGAACACCGTTTCATCGGTAAATATAATGGTTCTCAGTTTTCTTCTCTATGTGGAAGGTGCTCCAATGCAAAGCCGAGTCGACACTCCTTGTGAGTAGGTAGGTGTTAGCCACCCTTTGTGAGCTGGAATATGGCAGAGGATCCCGGCCGTGTCTTGTCATGTGCTTTGGCAGTTGAGGCCCAGATTTCTTATATGCTCCACTGAGGGATGCTGTGGATATGGATCATGGCGTCCATCCTTGCCGACGTTACTCGTGGCCTCCCGCTTCGAGGTTTCGTCTCCACTGAGCCCTCTTCCTCCCACCGGCGGATCCACCTCCTAATCGTCTTGGTGCTCCTATTAACTTCGACAGCATTGTTCGGCACAGTTGCCCCGGCTCTCCACATCCCGATGATTTGGCCTCGCTCAGCAATCACTGCCGACGAATTTGCTCGTCCTGCAGGCATATCTGAAATGCAGAGTAATATTATGTTGTGGTAACTGATGCAGGCTTTTATATAGTAGAGTAAATTAATGGTATTAGTAACACCTAGGTTAAGTATTATTACTCTGACATAACGTTTTGGTAAATCTTTTTGGATCAACTGCCCAAGAAACCCTTCCTATTTCATGTATTCATAGTGAACTGCAAGTGGATCCTCCCCACCCCCCCCACCCCCCCCAAACCTCCACCACCACCCCTGCGACTGTAGAGTGAACATTCGCCGATAATCATCATCATCATCAAGATTTAGTTTAACCAGACCACTGACACCCATTTGAGTCTCTCCTAGGGCTGGCCAGAGGGATTAGTTAACATATATTTGTGTTTCTATAATTTAGTGTTATATTGTTTGGAGGAGATTACAGTATTTCAAAAAGGTCAAAACTGAACTTAGGGAAAATTTTGGGGTCTCTGCTAAAATATCTTACATTGTAGGGTTAGTGAAGCACATTGTTCGATACCGATTATAAATAGGGCATTCAATGAGAATATGTTGGACTGTTATTTGTGTTCGGCAGTTGGAGCATATAGGTGGGGCTCCATTAGGGGAAGACATGAGTTGGCCATGCGTCAATCGCGTATGCCCAATTCTTAGACGATTCAGAATAGTTTCGTGATGTCGAGAGGATTGTTTTGATGATGACCAAGGATAAACTGATAATTTGATCATTTTTAGCTTATGACTTGTTGGTTCATTTTCCCAGGACTTTTGCCAATCGTCAAATATTAATTGTTTATAGGTAGTTAGCCTCGTCGATAATCAAAATATATGGTTTTCCACTGCTTTACATATTTCTTTGACAATTTTCAGCTATGACATACTTATCTCCTATAAATAATTCATTTAAAATTAATTTTTTTACAAAGAATATTCACTGGTTCTGGAATGTATCTAAACTTACGCCAGTGATGGTCAAGTCTGGTCTTAAATAAGTTCATACTCGGTGCTATCAGGGGGAGGGGGTTGGGGAATGCAGGGGAAGGTAATGTGATGGGATGGAATGTTCGATTGACGTTAGTCTTGGGGGAGGGATGAAGGGAGGAGGTGGGGGAGGGAGGAGGGGGGATGGTGGAGGGGGAGTGTGTTTAGGTGTGGTAACCCACGATGCTCAAATTATGAGGTTTAATAGTAGGGTGGGTAGAGGCAGGGGGGGAGGCTAGGCGCGGAGTTGAAACTCGTGAACGTATGATGTTGTTTAATATAAGTCATGGAACATTACAGTATCTTCAAACGGGTTTTCACGCTATTAATAGGCCTTATGTAATCCACCAATAAGGATTACAACAGCACACAGTATGGCTGCAATTGGTAAGAAAAATAAAATATAACATGGCAAAATTTTTGCCCTGCGTAATTTTTACAACCCACCTCACGCCTAAAGTAAACCGAATAATGCTTATGTGTATAGAAGATTTTCAACTCAATATCACATATTCTTTCACCTCTACAAATATCTGCTGTCACTCATGGGACACCCTGCAATAGTATAAGGACGACATGGACTATGCTGACAAATTAATGTGACTTACCTGTTGGTGACGACGATGGTAGGAATGAGACCTCGGCATGTTTCAGTGTTGACATCACCTCCTTCCTCTGGTGTGGGTGGCGCCAACCTTGGTAACAACTTGTGTATTCTCCGTGACTACCATTACTGGTAGTCACGGAGAATTAATTACTGGTGTGCCCATCAGTCTCACCGTCGTAGCCATGAACGGCAGAGATATGGTCGTTGTAGTGCATTTATTTACCCGTTACACATGTCTCACCATGCTTAATAATATTAACTATCTTCATGACATTCTTATTGTTATCGGTGATTAGGGAATTCACGATGTTATGCTCCACCTACACACAGCCTGTTACTAGACTAACCTCCACCTCCTCTTTCCCCCCCCCCCACACGCACACACTGCAGTGGGCGACATCTGTTGGCCGACCATAGCATTTCCCCCAGCTGTTTCGAAACTTCAGACTCAAGGCTATTCGAACCCTCACTGTGCCTGGGTAGTGGACACGACTTTTGTGCACGATAGTACAGTAGGTGACGAGTACAGTCAGTTAAAGATCCAGCGACCACCCTGGGCTCTCATATCATATCTTCTTATTTCCGACATTGGATTGGTGATTAGATTTTTTGCGCATCGTCAGGATAAATATTAAACAATTGAAATATCTAATTTTTATTATCATAAACTATTAATAATTATTATAGATCATGAGAAGTTTCCAAATGTTCGTAAATTTCCTTAAATAATGAAGAAATTATATTAATGAATTGGCAACTCAACTACAACGAGTTCTGCCACAAGACTCTCAGATAAAATTTTCTTCATTATTTATGCAAATATACCAACATTTGGAACTTCTCATGATCTTAAATAACATTGAATAGTTGAATTAGTATAGAAGTCTACCTTTGAATTGTTTTATATTTATCCTGACAGTGATGCAGCCGAAAATAGATCTACCAATCACAATCACCTTTACATACAACCTTACTTTACCAAGTATTGTCAGTATGAAACCCAGGGTGGGGTCGCTGGATCTTTGGCTGACTGTACATACATATTCTTTTAACTCAGCTGCGTTTTATATTGGAAATGAAAATCAGTGTCATGGGTCAGATCAATTTCTTAATTCTATGGTTTACAATCTAATCAGTGTTCAAGCTTGCAATGGAATAACTAAATTGACATCAAACACTCAAGCTGATAACGTCCTCTTATACAACGTCTTCAAAATATAAACAAGGGACCACTGAGATTTTGCAGTTAGATATTTTCTTTCAGAAGATTTGTGATCTAAAATACAAAATTGACAATAATTTCAATACAATCATCAGATTCTATGATGATTGTGAATTAAAATGGTCTAACTTCAGTAGCAGGACGATATCAGGATTCTTCACTCATTTTTCAACTCTACACCGATCTTACTTGACAATTTTACAAAAATTGAATACAGTTGAAGCTTTCAACATCACTCACAATAGATCCTGAATGTTTCATCTGTAAGCAGATATATCTAACTTAATGATGTAACACGAGAGGAAACGGGGGACTCAGGCGTACTGAAGTGGTGAGGAAACGGACGCCTCATTTAGTGGACTAGATAAAAAAATTATAGTACATGTCTTATGGGATATTCAGCATAATATGAATCGTCTGATTTTACGTTAACTAACATGTATGACTGTGGTTAGTACATCAGAGTTTCTAGAAAAAGAGCAGCGGGTTTATTTGAGTCATTTGGCGTGGTTTCATTTCTCCAGTCGATGTCGCCATAATTAAAGTCCCCCATGACAAGGAGGTGCCTAGGGTTGAGCGCCATTGCATTGTCTATTAAGGCTCTTAAGTTCCTTTGGTTTAATAATCTACAGTTTGGAGATCTGTAGATACACCGGACAATAAGTAAGTCTCTCCCCTTTAATTTAATTTTACACCACTTTGATTCTTCAAAACCATCCTCCCCCTGTACCCTCGCCTGGCTGGCTCTAAGGTCTTGCCTATCATAGATAACCACACTCCTCTTGCAAGTTTCTTGAGAAAGGTTCATAAATGAGTAATATCCGTTTATATTGAACTCGTATTCCTCCAGCTCGATTATCCTGTTCTTGTACGACAATTCTACAATACCTACTTAATCGGGTTGATGTACCTTCAGTAGTGTTTCAAACTCCTCTTTCTTATCAAGGAACATGTCAGTACAGTATTAGTGTACATTACTTTCAAGTCGGAATTTGTTCTCGGTAACGTCTCTGACATTGTTTACATACTGCTCACCTCCTTGATTTTTTTATTCAGAATTGACATTTATCACATTCGTTACAGGAGGGCAACGTTGATAGTTCCGTGGTGACCACTGCACAACCTGAAGTCACCACCCAAGATGCCAAGACAGAGCTGCTGTACAAAGTGGACGATGTTCCTCCCTGGTATATGTGTATTCTACTGGGTCTGCAGGTAAGTAATAAGTTGCACCTTGATATATTACACACTACTTCCTATGTTGTTCTACTACTAACAGTAAACACAGCATTAATATCAATAACACACCAAATTATGTGAATCATTTTCTTTCCAACAACAGTAACAGAGCAGGTTCAGATACACTCAGGAGATAGTGCATGTCCAGTACTAGCCATCTGTACCGAAGAGAAACATTGTGTTCTCAAGAGGTTATAAAAAATAAACTGCCAAAGCTAAAATTTCATAAGAGTCCCGGCCCCGACATGGTACATCCTAGAGAGCTAAGAGAGTTGTGCAACGGACTTGCTGAGCCCCCAGAGAGCCTTTTCTGTAGATACCTGGATGAGGAAAAGGTCCGCAGTTTTGGAAAATAGCTTATGTGAGTCCTATTTTCAAGAAGGGCGAGCGACACTCAACGAATAATTATAGACCTGAGAACCTGGCCAACATAGTATGTAAGGTACGTAAGAGCATTATAAGCGATGCCATGATGGAACATCTACTACGAAACAACCTTGTAAAGGATTGCCAACATGGTTTTATGCCGGAATGCTCCTGCTTAACTCAATTACTCAAAGTACTGGAAGTTTGGACCCAAATTCTGAAACAGAGTGGTAATATCGACAATATATACCTAGATTTTACCAAGGCTTTCGACAGTGTACCCCACGAATGACTAAAAATTAAACTGGAAGGTTAGGGGATTCGGAGAAATGTCCTTTTTCTTTTATCCTCTTCGCCATTGATTGGATCGTTAGCGGCTTTGGCGATCGGTCACGTCTCTGATACGTACTGTTGGCAGATACTAGGTATGTACTGGCTCTTAAGTATATCGGAATCTGCTCCAGTATTGGTCAAGTCTGACCTTTAATGAGCTCACACTCAGTGCCATCACAATGCTCTCTGGTAGATTGTCCGAAGAGTTCACAATTCTCACTCCGAAAAAAATTGCCCTCACGGTTTTCTGGACTTGTGGGTTCTTCAACCTTGAGCTGTGACCCTTGTGGGGCGGACATCCGCCAGCTCCAGGTATGTACAGTATATTTGACCGAGTAGTGCACCCTGAGAAGTTTATACACTTCGATTAGGTCGCCCCTCGTCCACCTGCGTTATAAGCTAGGTAGTTGCAGACGCTCCAATCTCTCTGGGAAACTGAGGTTCCATAGAGTAAGCACCAGTCTGGTGGCCTTCCTTTGGACATTTTCAATCAATTGATAGTCTCTATCATACCTCAGGGACCAGACGGGGTGACAGTACTCCAGACGGGGAAGCACCTCATACTTTAAGATCGTGACCAGCGACGGACCATCTAAATATCTAAACGACCTTCTTATAAGACCTACTAGTTTCGTTGCCTGATTCACCTTCTCACAATGACCCGAGAACTTAAGTTCATTGTCAACATACACACCCCCGGTACTTTTCATATTCGATCTCAATTAATGCAGTCTCTTCATCCTGCTGGGACATGTGATACGCCTCCTTACAATTGGTGCGACCCAGGTGCATCCTTTTGCACTTCGTGTCATAGAGATCTCTCGGCAGCTCTTCACAGTCTTTTTGGTACATAATTTCCCTATATATCTTGGCATCGTCTGCAAACATATATATGGAGGAGTATATAGCTTCTAGCATGTCATTTATGAAACAAACAAACAAAAACGGGCCCAACACACTGCAAAAAACTGGATGGGAGAGTTAACGAACTATTGGGTGAGACTACCCAGCAAGTTACAGGTACTATCGGGCACAAAAGTCGTGTCCACTACCCATCCACAGTGAGGGTTCGAATAGCCTTGAGTCTGAAGTTTCGAAACAGCTGGGGGAAATGCTATGGTCGGCCAACAGATGTCGCCCACTGCAGTGTGTGCGTGTGGAAGGGGGGGGGGGGGAAAGAGGAGGGGGTTAGTCTAGTAACAGGCTGTGTGTAGGTGGAGCATAACATCGTGAATTCCCTAATCACCGATAACAATAAGAATGTCATGAAGATAGTTAATATTATTAAGCATGGTGAGACATGTGTATCTGGTAAATAAATGCACTACAACGACCATATCTCTGCCGTTCATGGCTACGACGGTGAGACTGATGGGCACACCAGTAATTAATTCTCCGTGACTACCAGTAATGGTAGTCACGGAGAATACACAAGTTGTTACCAAGGTTGGCGCCACCCACACCAGGGGAAGGAGGTGATGTCGAGCAGTGAAACATGCCGAGGTCTCATTCCTACCATCGTCGTCACCAACAGGTAAGTCACATTAATTTGTCAGCATAGCCCATGTCGTCCTTATACTATTGCAGGGTGTCCCATGAGTGACAGCAGATATTTGTCGAGGTGAAAGAATATTTGATATCCACTTGGTATTCACTATGAATACATGAAATAGGAAGGGTTTCTTGGGCAGTTGATCCAAAAAGATTTACCAAAAACGTTATGTCAGAGTAATAATACTTAACCTAGGTGTTCCTAATACCATTAATTTTCTCTAGTATATAAAAGCCTGCATCAGTTACCAAAACATAATATTACTCTGCCATTTCAGATATGCCTGCAGGACGAGCAAATTCGTCGGCAGTGTTTGCTGAGCGAGGCCAAATCATGGGGTTGTGGAGAGCCGGGGCAACTGTGCCGAACATTGCTCTCGAAGTGGGGAGGAGCACCAAGACGATTTAGGAGGTGGATCCGCCGGTGGGAGGAAGAGGGCTCAGTGGAGACGAAACCTCGAAGCGGGAGGCCACGAGTAACGTCGGCAAGGATGGACGCCATGATCTTGGCAGCTGCAACGGCATATCCAATGCGAACATCAGTGGAGCATACAAGAAATCTGGGCCTCAATTGCCATCACATGACGACGGAATCGACTGCCATATTCCAGCTCACAAAGGGTGGCGAACACCTACTCGCAAGGAGTGTCGACTCTGCTTTGCATTGGAACACCTTCCACTTAGAGAAGAATACTGGAGAACCATTATATTTACCGATGAAACGCTGTTCAGGTCAGTGGGAGCTGAAGCAAGGCAGTGCTGGCGGCCCCCAAACACACACTACCATGAGAAACATATTCAACATCGCGCAGTGAGTGGTAGGGTGTCAGTGTCATTCTGGGGTGGATGTGGGCACAAGATCTACGGCCGTTTCACTGGAGCAAGTGCTAATTCCTACAGTCCGGGCTATGGCAGTTCCAGCCCCCCACACTATCAGGCTGCTTCATGACAACAGTCCCTTTCATACCGGCAACATAATGAAGGACTACCTCCAGGATCACCCTGAAATTGAGGTCATCGACTGGCCAACACTAGGATGTGATATTAATCCGTTTGAACATATTTGGGCCATGATGAAACGTGATTGGGATATTGGGGAGCAGCGAACTTGTGCAGCAATAGAAGCCAAAGCTTACGACGTGTGGGAGAGTATACGTCGACGACCAGGGGTGTGCCTGAAACTGGTCGACTCCATCCCTAATCGCCTTGATGAAGTCCTGAATGCAATGGATGGCTGGACCAAATACTAAGATGTGTGTCTTGGTGTATTGTTTGGATTTTAATATTGTTTGTAAATACAATTAATATATATTAACTCACCTACAGTGTTATCTTAAATCCATGTCCTTAATGATGTCTTAAACTATATCGCATGAAAATTCATAACAAAGTAACTGTCACAAATTATGTATTGTGTGGTATACAATGATCTGTATGACACGTCGTGGAATGTGTTGTCTTATAACACAATATAATTATATAGTTACAATTGCTACCATCATTGATATGCTCATGATGTTCAGCACACAATATTAACGGTAACTGAGCACACTCCAAAATATATGAAGCTTGCATATTGTGGTGGGGTGTTAAACACTGGAACTTGGAAGAATTGGAACAGTCACCTAGATTAAGTCTGAATACTATTTTACAATACTGATAACTTTTTCACTCCACTCTTTTTAACATAAGTATATAATTATATAATATTGCATATTATCACAAATATTTATTAAACAAAGGATGGGTGGAATATAAATAAATATTACCACAATCTCTTTGTCTGAACAACAAAATTGTGACGTGGTCGCTGAGTAAAACTAGCTGACCAAGGCCCTTCACCCTGATCCTTGCATATTTCACTTTTATCCTTAATATATTCCATTATTTAAAGTATCATTATGACCTGAACGGCAATAAGCACTCAGGGCTCTGCACCTGTTCCATGAATTCGTAACCATAAAGAAACAACTGTAAGACAAAACGTAGTTAAAAAGGCAGCTTGATATTATGGTGGTATAAATAATAAATAAACCTGCCTCTCATCCAGCCCCCACCTCCTCCATTCTCCCCCCCCCCACCCACCCACACACACACACACTACAGTGGGCGACATTTGTTGGCCGACCATAGCATTTACCCCAGCTGTTTCGAAACTTCAGACTCCAGGCTATTCTAACCCTCACTGTGGATGGGTAGTGGACACAACTTTTGTGCACGATAGTACACCTGACGATTTCGTACCATTTATCCCCACACACTGCTTGCTGTCAGATAGAAAATCTCCAATCCACGCTAGGACATTTCCGAGAATCTCATACCCTTCCAGTTTAATAATCCGCCTTTTATGGGATACACTGTCGAAAGCCTTGTGAAAATCTAGGTATATAGTATTAATATTTTTGCCTTGTTCTAGAATTTGAGTCCAACCATCTAGTACCTTGAGTAATAGTGTTAAGTATGATATTCCTGGCATAAAACCGTGTTGGCATTCCTTTAAAGGGTTGTTTCGTAGCAGATGCTCCATTATTGCATCTCTTACGATGCTCTTCAGTATTTTGCACACTATGCTGCTCACTGGTTTATAATTATTCGTGGAATGACGATCACCCACCCTTCTTGAATATAGGACTCGCATAAGCCACCTTCCAGTCATCTGGGAGCTTTTGCTCTTCCAGGCATTTGCAGAACAGAATTTTAAGGGACTTTCGCAAACTTGTTGCACA